AACAAATGTCGGTTTCTCCGATTCCATTATTTTGACGAGCGCCTGATTCCACCGAGATGCCCTACATTTTATGTCCGTGTGATTGCAAGTGCTAGTCCTACCTGTAGACAGGTCCGTACCAAACCTTCCAGGCAAGCACTGGGTCACGTAGGAAAAGGGTGCAGAAGCTGGGAAACACACCCAAGTCTTTAGCGATATTTTCCTGCATCAAAATCCCTGGTAGCTGTATCCGAAAATAAACGCTAATGTAAATTGGCATGTTGCTAATTTATAACATTCACTGAATATTCTTAAAGTAAGACCCTGCGTTTTCGTTATAATCATGAACCGTAGTTGGAGCTGCAAGATACAGCATAATAAGCTTTTTGAGGATGAATGAAGGACACATGGTATTATGATAGATACACTGCAGGTTGACAAAACTTGGCATTTATCTCTTAAAACAGTTGTCTTCTAACATTGTAATGCTAGCCTTCTGTCTTATAGCACCCTTGAAACATTTGTGCAGACCAAGGAAGGAAAATATTATTGAAAAGATGATTTTATTATTCAATTTACGAAAACTACTGAGTACTAGTCTATACAGTGAGTAATAATACGATGTACAAGGGATAAAAAATTTTTACAAGGAAAGAATTCTTTAAGCAAAGCTCATAGGGTGGGTTGTTGCCCACTGAAGGTAAATCTGAACAGGAATCCTCTTTTAGTTTTAGTAAGGTTTTAGGGCGCTCGCATTTGCATAGGGTCATATGACTGCCAAGGGGTGGATGTCAACAGAGAAGACAAACGGAGAATCAGGCTTACTCTGCTCACTTCTCTAGCCTCAACAGCACAAAGTCTGCTTCGACAATCAAGGTACCCAGGAAACAGCAGTTCACAAGAGAGTGACAAACACACAAAAGAAGAAGAGGAAAAATGGCGATAATAAGGATGAGGAAAGAAGAAGCTGCAGCCCCCCCCCTCCCCCTGTGTTGTACCGACACAGTATGATGATGACATTGATAAATCAGCTCATTTACAATTCTACCGTGCCTAAGAACTTGTTAATATCCCCCTTTGAGAATGGCCTAAAGACAACTTCAGTCATTAATGCAGTAATGCAGCCCTCGGGGGGAAGGGGGGGGGGGGTCCTCTGTGTATTGCAAGTTGCTTAGAGCTTGATCAAAACTTGCGTTGGTTTATAATTGTTGTTTAATATTTCTCGACAGTGGACTTTTAAAATAGCATCACATAATTGAAAACTGATAGCAGTTCATGACACGAAGTCACGACTGAAGTACAGTTATATTTTACGTAGCCTTTCGCGAGGTTCTATTTAGAGACGAAGTACATCTTGTTCTGAGAAGCATCGGAAGTGAACAAAACAAAATGAAAAGGGCTTTACATTAAGGTATTATGATATGAATACTTACAAAGTAGATGTAAGCTTTTCTCATTTGAAAAATGGAGTCATTCAAAAGGTCCACACCTTCCTTCATTTTTTTCTGCGAAGGTAGTTGGACTTTTCCACTTACAACTGTTCGAGAAAGAGGAACAAAACACTGTCTTTACTGTACTTGAAGGTACACCGTTTATCCACGATCATATATCCTACTGTGTTGTTTGTATGGTTTGTCTTTGTTTCTATTTTTTTAACATTGGGGAAAAGCAGTGCTACGCATAAGTCTTCGGTGGCATTGCATATAGATATCTACATTTATTAAGCAATTTAAAAAAAGAACATCAAGATGCTCAAGTGAAAAATGTCAAATTTCTTTCACGGAATTTATCTCCGTCTGTTATTAGGAAATACAAATGTAACAGATAGCAGAAGCTTTGAAAAAACTAAACATCTTCAGGAGTATGGCTCTTTAGGT